TTGGATGATTTTATGTGTATTTATTAATCTTCATAATGTGTTTAACTAAGATCTGTTTTTGTCGTCTTATCTATGGCCATTTTTGTTACGCGAGTTGATCTCACTTCGTTATTATGCAACTTTATTACGAGCGTACAGGACGGCAACAGTGAGTGCGCGGAGTCGGTGCAATTCTAAAAGGCACGTACTCGCCTGACTTGAACATTCTAGATCCTCTCTCCCCTCCAAAGACATTTTAAACAACGACAAAAAAGAAATTTCATAGTTGCTCCTCCTCTGTCGCTCACCGCTCTGAGCCAGATACAGCGGTCATCGGGATCCCCCTGCAGTGTTGCCACTTTATGCACAAGCCAAAGAACGTATTCCTCCAACAATTTTTAAAAAAACCTATGTTGGCCAATTTGTAACTTCGTCATTCATTAAAAGTGTGTTTGATGGAGCTCCCCTCCGAACCCCTTTTCAGGCTATAAACTGCAATAGGTTAACATGTGTGTTATGAATGGAAGGGGGAAGAGGAGAACTAGATTATTAAATATTAAAAGATCGCCTATATACTATGAAATAATGGAAATGCTGTATTATGTGGCAAGATATGCCACTACTGCCGTGTGTGCTCACCAAAGGAAGAGGAAGACAGTAGTAGGTGGAGAGAGACGAAACGAGAATACTCTAAACGGCGCAGAAGTAGGAGTAACATCAGTAAAAGAACAGGTCAAATAAAAAAGTACGAAGGAAGAAAATATGTTCTTTGAGATTTTGTTTTGCTCGCTGATTTCATATGCACTTATTGCACGTCTAGCGGTTAGAACGCCGGCCTTGTAATCCTGGGGTCTCGGGTTCGATTCCCGGCGGTGCCCGAATTTATAACTTGTGTTGGGCAAGGCAACACGGAGTTTTCCTCCGGGGGTTTCCCCGGTTTCTCCGTGGCATCCCAACAATTACTCCATTCACACACAGAAGAAGGCGATGGCAAACCACTTCTGGATCATCTGCCAAGAACGTATATGAACAGGTCCCAGTCCGAGAAAAGGATCGAAGGATCCTGTTCATATGGACCTGTCGTCAGACAGAACACTAAATAAATAATAGATGAAAAGCAAAGCTAATATAAACACGGATCATGAATTATTTCTCCTTGTACTTAGGGAAATATGTGCCACAAGGAACACATTACAAATTAAAGTTGTTAATCGTAATGAAAACTCTGCTTTATGTCTTATCATCTGTTGTTCTTTGAATCGTTTTGGGGAAAGTTGATAAATATCGGTTTTAAGTTTCGTGTAATGTAGACGCTATACCAGATGGACACCGACAAGGCTTTAATACGGCCTACAGATTTTAGTGCACACGTACAGCGTAAAATGGTTCGAAATGTGTTTAGTTTTTTTGGAAATGGACGATATGGGTGGACAATCATTACTTTCATTACTTCGTGCAAGCAACCCATGATCAATTATAATCAATTATAAGTGTACGATATTGTTTAGGCGCAAACATAGTTGATATCATTTTTACTATCATGTTTTGGTATGCTTATTTGCTCTTTCCAACTTTTTGACTCTCAGTTATTGCAAATACAAATTTATTTTCGATTGAACTAGAAAGCGGAAACATAATTAGGCCTACACTAAATTTTCTCTATGGTGTTGCTAGGTAAGTTAAGAATGTCTCAGATCATAACCAAATTAAGTATCAAGGAATCGGAAGGCTCATTGATTTTTTTTACAAAAATCCGCAGTTGGAATCAGTTTTGTCCAGCCTCCATTATGTTAACTTACATATATGTGATTAATTTTATTATTATTATTATTCTTTGTATGCCTAGGTCTTTGGTTTGAAGGTGACTAAAATTTTGTATGTATTTCTCATCTTTCTAGTGCATACTACATTCTCTGCTTATGTAATCTCCCGTAAAAGTATTAGCGAATAGTACGAGTTACGAAACATTATGTAGTTTTCTCAATTCTGTAATTTTCTCTCCCAAAAGGAAATTCAATTTATGTCCACAAACTGTATCGATTTATACTGAGAAGCTCGGTTTATAATGCAACCGGCAGTTCTAGGCAGACAGGAATGCGAATCCAGT